TCTCTCTCTCTCTCTGTCTCTGTCTCTCTCTCCTCTCCCTGTGTGTTTGTGCACGCACTCATGCATGCATGATTGTTTGTGTGTCTTTCTCTCTAGTGAAATTATGTACCCTATAATAAATTGAAAAATAATAATAATGATTACAAAAGAAATAAATGAATAATTCTAAAAAAAAAAGTGCAGCACTTAGGGACAGAAACTATTATGGTCTTGGATTGTAAAATCACAATGCCCTGCAGAGGGCAGTTATTTGAGACCTCTTAAGGATTCTGCTTTTGACTCATGAAACCAAAAGTTGTATTGCACCCAGACACTTTGATGTAGTCACTAGAGCACCACTGTGAGATAAGGAGCCACATGGGAACCTGGGAAGTTCTGGGTTTTAGATCCTGGGTCTCAGAATGTAGGATGTTCTTTGGGGTGCTTCAGTGACTATGTTGGCCTGGAACCCAGGGGGAGATCATGCAGTGACAAGATCTTGCTGTTGGTGGTGTGTGTGTGCTTTCTCACTCTCTCTATTTTCCTTCTCTCCATTTGTAATAAAGCAAATAAATAAACTTAAAGAAAATGTTGAACCAAGTCATTGCTCCATAATGTTGCCACTTTTCCAACACTGAAGTTGTGTTGTGTGAAGCTATTATTTAGTAAACCTGCAGATAATCTTGAATGAGTGTGTGTCTTTCTAAGTCAATCTAAAAGGGCTACAAAATTCAGTTCTATTGAAGGATAGGGGTATAGGCAAGACTTTTATACACCACAAACAAGTCTTGGTAGGGGAGAGATGAAAATGTGGATAATTTTCTTGTTTGAACTATGGATTTTTCTTGCCTTTAGGCCCAGGCCATTAAAAATCCCTAACAAACAGTAGGAGACTATGTGAAAGGGAGGCCCTGGGCTGCAACCCATTACTCAAAGCAATTAAAAAAATGTGAAAAGACTGAGATAAACAGAAAGCTAGAGACCACACCTGCACCAGGATCTTGATGCCATGATTCACCCCCAGCCTTAACCAGCCCCATATGAGGGGCACACATGAACCCAGTGTGCTCATGGAGGTCTGTAGACATGAAATAAGAACCTCCCATATGGGAGCTAGTACTAAACTAGCTCATGTTTAGCACTATGTTTTAAAGGGTTTTCTTGCTCTAACATTTCCATCTGTGTTTCTAATTCAGAATCTGCCAGTTTGACTTGAATGAGTATCACTTATGAAATATTTAATTTCAGGTCCATATGGTGGTATAGTGGTAAATGTGACTGACACCTATGGAAGTTTCTTGCTTCATATCCAAAGACTTCCATGAGCACATTGGATTTATGTGTGCCCCTAATATGAGGCTGGTTGGGGAATGGCAGTGAATCATGGCATCAAGGTCCTGGTGTGGGTGTGGTCTCTATCTTTCTGTGTCTCTCAATCCCCATTGTCCATAAAGCATATAAATAAGCTTTGAAAGTGTTTCTTTTCAGGCCAGTCAGGTGACATGGTGGCTAAGGTGACTGGATCCCACATGGCAGAGTACATGGAGGCCTGATTTCTGAAAGACTGGTTCCTGGCAGAGCACTTCCAAGTCCTTAGAATATTCTGCCTGGTCATGTTTCTTTATACCTGAGGCTCTGGGCCACATTGTAGCTATTTGGACTCGAGCCTAGAGAGAGTCACAGGCCTCTGCATGACCCATGGATTTATCTGATCCCAAGGCCAGGTCTCACAAAAATCCTGACACTGAGACTTGAGTGAGCTTCCTGAGTTGGCAATACATTGCACGTGCTGTCACTCATTCTTGCTGAAAAAATTAAACAAGTGCCTATGCAGCTCCCCTGGGAGGAGACACCTGGAAGCTTGCCCTGGTTTCTCCTGGACATCAGTCTAAGCTCCTTTCCCTTTGCTTATCTTTATGTTTACCCTTTCACTGTAACAACCTGTGAGCACTATGCTATGTCCTATGACAGCTCTCGACTGAAAACAAGCTTTCTGATTTGGGGATGGCAGTTCTAAGGTGGACTGACAGCATCTTGTTTAGAAGTTTTCATACCACCAGCAACTGGTGAAAAAACTCCAGTCAAGAAAAATAGGGACAAAGGAGCTCTGTGGCACGGATTGGGTGAGTTTTCCTCACAGTGATGAAGGAGACCAGCAGCAAGGAATCTGTCAGGCCTCTATTAGCCCTGTAGACACATGGGGGAGCCATCATCACTGCTCTCCTGGTCTGGGTAAGAGGCACTAGGGCAGGCCATCAGCACACAGTGCCTACCCCTCCACTTCAGAAAGCAAACTGGCCAGTGTGGGCCAATCACACAAGAACACCCAGAAATCAATGTGTGTGGCACCCAGTGGCAAAATTTCTGGTTCTCTCATTTTTCCTTAGTTTCCCTTTATAGGCAGGGGTACTGGTTTTGCTTTATGGAGGTGCTCAAGAAAATGAGGCCCTAGATGGCAACAGCAATGCGAGACATTCCAAGGGCTCCATGTGTGACCCTGCCTTTCAGCAATCACTGCCCTGCCAGATGGAATAGAGCTGGGTTCACTTGGATATCTTTTGGGCTCTCTCTGTCTCTGAGTATTCCATGGGCCATGACCATACCACAAAAAAGGCCCATGAAGAGCCTACGTGGTGAGTGTACTGCTTCCTGAAGCCTCCGGCACTTCTGGCTCCTGTTGTCAGAAGGAATTGTCAGTTCTCACTCACAAGGATTCTGAGAACCATCAATAACAGGTCCAAATATGATTTCAACCAACCAAAGAACTACAAACAGTTATAAATACAATATTTAAAAGGTTTTTGTTTGTTTGTTTCTTTAGGGCTTTTGCCTTTACCAGAGAGAAACAGGAGAGAGAGAAAGTGAGAAAACACCTCTCACATGGGTTGGACATGCTACAATTTCTTCTCCTCCATTCTCTTTTCAGCTTTGGACACACATGCACATGTGCCTGGTGTGATTCTTGAGCTGCCATGTCCAGAACTCGAACCCCAGAATTGCTCATATAGCATTCAGCTGTCTTAACCTCCATGCTATCTGCTGACCTGAAGTGATGTTTATAATTACACAACTATAAGCTTCAGAACACTTCTATTTCTTCTACCACCACCTCAGAAAATAAACCTCTATTTATTACAACTATTTTCTTTCTTTTATTTTTATTTTTGTACTCTGGTTCAAACATCTGCTTGATCTTCCAAGCAGATAAAACTTAAAATGGTGCAAATGTTCAAAGGAAGGATCCTCAGTTCTGAGAGGCAAGGAAACACTGCCAGAGGCTCAGAAACCTGGTTGGCTCCTGGCCCCCATGGGTTAATTATCCTGAATTTTACTCCCTAGACACATACCCAGGTAGTAGCCAATTTATGTTTTTAGAGTGAGAGTTGTAAAATTTCCCTGGAGGTGCTTTTCACAGTCAGCTTCCAGGACACATTTCAGATGGGACCAGGTCCCAACTCTGCCACTAACAAGATGGACTCTACTCATCTCATGGCTTTACTTGTTTTTGTTTTTGGTTTATTTGTTTGTTTGTTTTTCATAGGGTGTGTGGCCTTACTAGAGAGAAACAGAGAGAGGGAAAGTCAGAAATCTCCCCCTAGAGTGGATGGTCATGCCACAAATTATTCTCCTCTTAGGATTTTTGTCACTCATGCACACATATCCAGGTTGATTTTTCAAGCTTCCAGTTCTAGGACTTGAACCACAGCTGGCCATATGGGAATTCAGTGCCTTAGCCACCATACCACTTCCTGGCCCCTAAAACAGGCAAAATATTTGAAATATACTTTACCATAAATGGGTTTCTAGTAACTATATAAAAGTTGTTTGACATAATGTCTTAAGAAAAATGTCAGTTAAAAAGAAACCCCAAATCATGCAGCCACTTGATCTCCAACAAAGGGTACAAAACAATGCAGTGGAGAAAAGGAAGTCATTTCAGCAAATAGTGCTGGAGAAACTGGATATCCACCTGCAGAAATATTAAACTGGATGCTATCTCTACCATTAACCAAAATCAAAGATTTAAATATAAAACCTCAAACTACAAAACTAGTAGTAGAAAATTTAGGGGAAACCTTTAAAGATATTGTTAGGCAAGATTTTTTGATGGGACCAGAAGTTGGCATAATGGCTATGTCTGGATTCCCATGCAGATGACTATGGTTTGGTACCAGACCCATTGGCTTAAACTCATGCTGGGTGAGTGTGCATGCATGCCCAAGGTTCTGAGAGGAGACTGGAGGAGAAGGGATTGCGGTATGTCTACCCCCCTGGGGAGTGATTTCCTGCTTTCTGTCTATCTCTCTGTCTTTCTGGCGAGCACTCATGCCCTATAGCAAAATCCTCTGAAAAAAAGATTTCTTGATTTTAAGAACCCTATATATAGAATAAACAATAGTCCCCAAAATAGACAAATGGGAACCATTGAGCTAAAAATCTTCCACACAGCAAAGGAAACAATAATTAGAATGAAAAGTCAGTCCACTGAAGGAAGAAAGTATTTGCAAATTATTCCTCAGACAAGGGATTCATATCCAGAATATACAAAAAACTCAAGCAGCTCATGTACTAAAAAATAATGATCATTGTTGGTGGAAAAATTAAACAAGTGTCTATGCAACTCCCCTAAGAGGGGACACGAGGAAGCTTGCTTGTGGTTTCTCCTGGACTTCAGCCTAAGCATCTTTCCCTTTGCTCATCTTCATGTGTATCCTTTCAATGTAACAACCTGTGATCACTACATGGGCTTTCTGAGCTCTGTAGTAACCCAATTAAAAAATGGGCAAATTATTTCAATAAATGGTCAAAAGGCATATAAAAAATTTTAAATTCTCATGTCATTAGAAAAATGCAACTTAAAACCACAATGAGTGGGGCTAAGTGGTTAAGGCTCTGGAATCTCAAGAGGTTGACCACAGTTTCCCAGACTCAGTGGTTTTAAAGTCACACTGCGCATGTGCATGTGTATGCATGCCCAAAGTCTTGAGAGGAGAGTTGAGGAGTTGGGATTATGGTGTGGTCATCCCCTCAGGGAGTGATTTCTTCCTTTCTATATCTCTATATCTCTTTCTGTCTCTCTGGTGAGTGAACATACAGAAAAAAATCTCTCTAAAAAATCAAACACAATGTGATGGGGCGAGCAGTCAATATGGTTGTTAGGGCACTGCACTCCCACATGGCCAACTGTGGTTCAAGATTCAATAGTGACATTTTACTTTCTCACTTAACCTGTCTCTCCCTCTGTTAAGTACATGTACCCTATGATAAGTTAAAATAATAATAATAATAAATAAAATGAAATAAATAACTATTTTTTTAAAAAACAACAACATGAGATACCATTTAACTCCAGTTAGAATAGCTACAATCAAAAAACTAAAGAACAAGTATTTGTGAGGCTGTGGTTGAAAGAAATCCTCTTAGAGGCCAGTAGATGGTGTAGCAGGCACTGATGTTAAGGCACTGGACTCCCATATTGCCAATCATTGTTGGAGCCCCAGAGTTGGTGGCTTGTAAATCACACATGGCACATCTGTGCACATGCCCAAAATTCTAAGAGGAAGATGAAGTAAAAGGTATTGTGTCATGGCCATCCCCACTGCGTGGTGATTTTCCACTTTCAGTGTCCTTTTCTGTCTCTCTCCAGGAAGTGTGCATGAACTATGTCAAAAACTTTAAAGTTTAAAAATAATTAAATTAAATTTTTAAAAAGGGAACCCTCCTACACTGTTGGTGGAAATTAAATTAGTACAAACTCTGTGGAAAACAATATGGAGGTTTCTCAAAAGTCTACAAATAGTATTACTATCTGACTCATTAAACCCACTTCTTGGAATTTATCCAAAGAATAGAGAAAACACTCCATCAGAAAGCATTTGCACATTGATGTTTATTGCAGCATTACTCATAACTGTTAAAACATGGAACCAACTTAAGTGTCCAAATATTGATGACTGGTTTGAAGAACTGTGGCACATATATACTATGAAATATTACATAGCTATAAGAAACAATGAGATTCTATCATCTTACTTAAAATGGATGAACATAGAAGACTGAATGTTGAGCAAAGTGAGCCAGATTCTGAAAGATATACATGGATAGTTCCATGCAATTTATACTGAGTGTCTGATCTTGATGGCAGATGTTGAGAAATCTGAAAATGTGATGGTGGAGAACATGGCTGCAGCAGGTAGAGACTGTAAGAAGGGAGAATGGATGGTAGAGAGTGGGTGCTAGAGAGTGGGTGCTAGAGGTGCAAAGGGAGAAAACATTTGACAGATGAAAAATGTAAAGTTCTCCATTGGGGGAATATATATAACGTATACATATAAATATATAATATATATATATCTTCCTGAAAAATATAGCTTCTCTGTTCAAGTGTAGAAAGAAATTGTAGATAATTACATATAACTACAAAAAAAATCCTCCCTAAAGAGGACCTTCTTTACATTAAAATATAATTAACCTTTGAATTTTTGAGCCATTAATTTTAGACTGTAGAATTTCATTCTATTGAATAAATTATAGATTGTCTATTTTTAAAAAGAGCTTTTTAAATTATAGAAAGTCTTTACTTCATTGTAGAAAACCCTAAGTGTATTTGTATTTATTATAAGTACAATATAATTAATAATACTAATATTTCACATTCAATAATAAATTATGAAAATATTTTATATTTGTTGCCTATTTGATCCATATTATAACCATTGGAGATAGGAGGACAGAGATGTGCATGTTCCCAGCATGATTATTTTTATGCTGCAAAGTCTGCAAATCAAAACATGCAGTTGACCATGTGGGATCTAGTGCCTGCATTCACCACATCACCTGCAGGACCTGAGGTTTATTTCTTATTTTTTAATATAGAATTATTTATCTAATTTTATTAATTATTATTTTTTATTTTGTTATAAAGCACCTACTATCACCAGCGACAAAGTGAAAGAGAGAGGCAAAGTGAGAAAAGAAGGCACCAATTCCAGAACTTGCACCACAGTCAGTCATGTGGTAGTTCAGTTCCTCAACCATCAAGCCACTTTCCAACCCCTTGTTATTATTATTTTAAAATTTGATTAGAGAAAGACAGAAAGGAAAAGTGAGAAAAGAAGACACCAGGTCTAGGATTCAAACCACAGTGAGCTATGTGAAAGTCCAGTGCCTTAATCACCATGCTACCTATTGGCCCCTCTAATTTTTTTTTTTTTGGAGAGGTTTTTTTGCTATAGGGCGCATGCACTCGCCAGACAGACAGAGAGAGACAGAGAGACAGAAAGTGAGAAATCACCCCCCCCCAGTGGGGATGGTCACGCCGCAATGCCTTCTCCTCCATTCTCCTCTTGGGATCTTGGGCACACACACACACGTGCCCAGTGTGAGTTTAAGCCAACAGGTCCGGGACTCGAACTGCGGTCAACTACGTGGGAGTCCAGCAACATAGTCATTACGCTAACTGCTGGTCCCCAGCCCCTCTAATTTTTTAAAGGCAACAGAAAAATAGATGTGTCAAGGGAACTTTTTTTTCTATA